TTAGTAATAAATTTCATAGTTATAAAATAACTACATTTCAAGAATATGTTAACACTTTCAACAATTCAGGATTATTTATTGCATCAAAAGTAATTTCAAAGTAACATTAAATGTACGTATAAACTGCTTAATTTGTGTGTGTAAACACCTAAGATGCAAAAAGCTTATTTAGACCAGAATAGGCCTACTAAATGCAACGGTCAATGTATGTAAACTTATGACTTAAAATGTCTTAAATGACTAAATTTAAGTCTTTTTAAGTTTTTAAATAATTTAAGTTTAACTTAAATGATTTAACTTAAACTTTAAACTTCAAATTAACAGAGTATGGCAAATAAAGTGTTTATTAAATGGAGGTCAGGTGTCTATCTTAATTATTATTATTAAATTATTAAATATTATGACACTATAATTCAGTGGTGTATTGGAGAGTACGCAGGCAACCTTTTAATTAATTAATTTTAAATAAGTGGTTTAACCTAAATAAAATACAATGGGATCGGTGGATGTGCAATAATTAGTTTGAAAACCCCTGGTTCAGACTAACAGGTGAGCTAGCTGTCTGTGCGCTGCGCTAATAACTTGGCATTTGCTCTTTTCGGTGCTGCCAGATGCATTTATATTGCATAAAAAAATAAAAAAGGTAATTCGGTAAAGCGCACGATGCGCGCAGAAATAAGCGAACTATATGCATATGCCGAATTAAGTTCTCTTTATTTCTTTAATCAAGATTTTTTCATTAGTAGAGGAATTACAATTATTAATACGATCAGTTAATAAAACATACAATTTACGGATCAAGCCTAAGAATAAGAAGAATATGCAACGCATTATGATCCTTGAATGATCAGAGCGCATTTATATAAACTATATATTTTATATAATCAATAAATAATCCATAACTATAAAAAAACATTATACATTTAAAGTAATGGAACAAATGTCATAAAATCTAAACTATTATTTAGGCTACAGGCTAAATAAAGGCGCTTTTTCGGAGCTGTTCAGCGCGTGCGTTAAAAAAAAAGACATGACACAATCACAATAAAAACTTGTTGCTTATTCACAAAATCTAAAGGGAAATAAAACATCTAACATGCAAATCCATTCTTAACGAGTTTCTGTGTTCTGCATCCTTCACAGACCGAGTTCTTATTCCGAGGTAATCTATAAATATTCCAACACAATCTCACGGCAATTCGTAACTTTTTCATTTAGTGGCTAATTCGTATGAATTTGTACGATCTAATTCGTACAATTTAGTAATTTTGCTTATGATTATTCTCATTTTTAGAAGAGTCTGTAAAGGCTGTTCTGGCACATTCTTGATTAAAGGTGAAACTGACCGGCGCAACGGATGATTTGTATAGAGTAAATACTGTTATAATACAGGTTATGACACTATCAATATTTCACTTTAATTTCATATTATTATTTTATTAAACAAACAAACCAGTTTGTGTTTTGGCGCTGCATGCAACGTATTGTGGATCTTATTTTGAAGCATTGCACTTCAAATGTTATTCTTCCTTTTTATTTTTATTGTATTTTTTATATTTTTAATTATACAAAACAAAATTGGTTCTAAACAGATACATTTTCCTATAGGCTATGCTGAAGTGTATATTTTTGTTCACACAGGTCCTATACAAAACTGTGTGGATGGATGATTTGTTTCTCTGTGAAAATCACTCATTTAATAAGCAAAACAGGCCAATGTTTAGCTTGCGTCAAACTGGATGGACAATTTACAAATATATTAAATAAGGCTGGTTATTTTATGCAATGAGGGACAATAGGCCTATTACAAATTAAAGAAATATATATATATAAAAATATATAATACAACAACAGATCCTACCTCGTAAGAAATGACTTTAGATAATGTAAATAAGCATCAAGTTTTTTTTTTTTTGAGATTGTGTCCTTTAATTCAGTAGTGTAGTGCGTTCGCGTGGGTTTCCTCCGGGTGCTCCGGTTTCCCCCACAGTCCAAAGACATGCGGTGCGGGTGAATTGGTTAGGCTAAATTGTCCGTAGTGTATAAGTGTGTGTGTGTGTATGTGTGGATGTTTCCCAGAGATGGGTTGTGGCTGGAAGGGCATCCGCTGCGTAAAAACTTGCTGGATAAGTTGGCGGTTCATTCCGCTGTGGCGACCCCAGATTAATAAAGAGACTAAGCCAACAAGAAAATGAATGAATAATGTGCAATACTATTTTAAAATACTTATCACTAACCTACCTGAATACTTATCACTAACCTACCTAAGCTGAAATAGCAGGGCCCGCTGTAGCACTTTCTCAAGAAGAGCAAATGTCAAATTATTAGCGCAACGCACATGCAGCGAGCTCATCTGTTTGTCGAAACTAGACACTATTTTTTATCAACTATAATATGTTTAATTAGTTAATTTGAAATTTATTTCATTATTCCAGCAATAATTGTTGAGAGAATGCGCTAGAAATATGCATTGCGGCTCACTTTATTGTACAGGCTTATTGCACTTAAACATTTTTAGGTTCGGCTCTCGAATTAGTAAGGTTATGAGTAAATGTTATTTAAAATATTTCGCAAAGCCTGCCATGTAGCCTACAATAACAATAACAGCAAATTACAAAAAATAATAAGACAGGCCTACTTTTCAATAAAATAGTATTATTTATCAAATAAATAATTACAAGATATAATTAAAATAGGAAAAAATAAAATAAAAACTAGTAAATGGTACCCTTTGTTTTTATAGTAAGGCCCAATGTGTTCTTATTCTGGTTCTGCTAACAACTATTAAAAAAAAAAAAAAACAATAAAAACACTAGTAAGTGAAAATAATAATAATAATAATAATAATAATTATTATTATTATTATTATTATTATTATTATAAAGCCCTTGCTCTGAAACAATCATACAAACCAGGTGCTGCTCGGAAATGGCTATCTTTGCTCTGCATCAGGTGCACAAGCAGCAAGAAGCTTGGCAGTGAACTATGACCTTATTTTAATGAAAAATGTCTAAAAATACTGCTGATTTACGTGTTTATTTAATTTATACATACGCAATGAATGTAAGCCTGCTAACTGTGTGTGGTTCAAATGATAGAATAAGTAAACTTTGTTTATATATATATAATTAAATAATAATAATTAAAAGCCTGCGTGTAAGGCTTTTATTTTGAGGAAGACGTCACGAGCGCAGATTTGGTTGACCAATTAAGAGGAAAGTGGGCGTTTCAGCACCGCCTACATGTGTAAAATGAATTTTAAAGTCGTTTATCCGTTTTCCTACCCTAAACCAAAAAACGAAAATTCAGCCAAAATCTCGTTTTTTCGTTTTCTCGTGAGCAAAAGAAAAACGGAAAAACGGCCGTTTTCTCCATTTCCTTTATTCCGTTTGAAAATGGAAAACAAATGAACAAAACGTACACGGACCGTACACGGACCATTTATACACATAGTTTTAAAATTTTTAGAACAACCGTAAAGCAAAACAGATGTATTTTCCACGTAAAAATGATCCAAAAGGCACATAGGTCTATGTGTTTTGCGTATTTTTTTTTTATAATTTATTGCGTGGATTATAATATAATAAACAGAGAGATTACCGTTATGGACATTATTTCTAAAAATAAGCTTGATAAGTTGTCTGTAGCGGGGTGGTGCTGACGTCACAGGCGAGCACCCTGAGGGCACTGTAGTCCGTTTATAGCCTGATTTTAGCTTTTCAATTCTTGCGTTTGTATTTAAGATCCAAAAGTGCTCAAAGTTGTATTTTTGTGTGAGGATTATACGGCTGGACAAAACGTGTAAATGTAATGAACAGTGTTTGAACACAGCTTATTATTTGCAATCTAATAGCCTATGATCTGCAATCTCACGAGGGAACCAGTTTATGCTAGCAGCCGATTAGCCTACAAACGTGAGCTGCCCTGTGTCCTGACGTACAGAAACGTCCCATCTCATTGGCTGGCTCTAGCCAATAAACCGGATTTGCTGCTCTTTTCTTGGTATGTACATTTCAGAACAATCAATGATATTTAACAAAAATCTTTTCAGAAAATAGTTAAACCCAAAATAATAAAATAATCGTGGGAAATAAATATTTTGCACCTCCTATTGCACCTAAATATTGCACCTAAATATTTTGTCCTGTTGGCTGCTGGCATTTTTACACCTGCCCCGACCCGCGCTGCTCGTGCCTCTGCATCTGCGAGTGCACAGATGGGTTCTGCTGCAGAGTTCGCGGGAGATGTGTAGCAAAAGTCAGAGCGCGAGAGATTTGTAGTTGTATTGACGAATATGAGAGGTTAGGAGTGCCGATCTGGTTGTAGAGCGAAGATGCCATCAAATTTGCCGTGCACACGTGTGTCTGTCACTTTGTATTTGTGAATGACATTTTACAAATACACAACTATTAATCTGCAACTTCCGATTCAAAACACAAGTTTGTTGGTTGTTGTGTGTGTGCAAATCGAGGGATTCAGCTGTTCACATCAGAGCTGTGAGTGTACTTTTCAACCTACACATACAACTATTATTATCACAAGTGCTCACGTTTACTAACTTGCTTTATTAACTGAGCCGGTATTTAAAAACCAAGTGAAAATGAAAATATGTGATACCTATATGAGTTTCATGTTCAAAACAATCGTAGTATTTTTTGGTAAAACTTCTAAATGCAGTAAAGGAATACATGCAAAGATAAACATATTCTGTTTTAATCAAACTAAGAAAACTGTTGAATTTACTCATTCGTTTACTCATTCAGAAAACATTTTAAATCAAAAATTCAACATTTCAAAATAATTTAAGAACATTCAAGTGGTCTCTGTTATTCAGTTACAAATTTCATAATTCATGATTATTAACATCAGCATTATGCATTATTAAGAAAGAAATGTTAATTCCATGCATACCAATACATAATGTGTTTTGCCAAGACCACATGATAAATTGCATAAGCGGTCAATTCAATGTTAGTAACGTTAGTTTCAGAGTTTATTACCTGTGTTAGAGATCCGAAGCAGGTAGAAAACCGAAGTAGATGAACAACAACGACCGTTAAAGTAAAAGTCACTTTTATATTTTAAAAGTTATCTAGTCCATGATCCCAAGATTCACAACCAAAAAATATCACTCGTTATTTTCGTTTAGTATTTTGATGCCGTTATATCAGGCAATTGCACGCATAGGGCTCAACCTGTGCAGTGCACATGCCCTTTTTAGTCTTTGATATAAATTGCTTTTTCAAAGTGATCTGAAGTGGCCCCGTTACAAGTACCTCCACCCCCTGCCTGAACAACAGCCTTTAAAGGATGCATGAGATTCGAGTTCGAAATAGATTTAGCCTATCATGAAACGAAACCCAAAAATAAACCAGAGCTCAGCAGATAGAAACGGGGACACAAGCTGTATATGCCTTTGGTGGGGGTTTGGGGAATCTGCTTTAATCAACATTTAGGGGTCAGTTACAGTAGGTGTGCTTATTTAGTATCATTTTGCTTTCATTATCGACATTTTTACACAACTGATTGAGCTCTATAAATAAATATTAAAATATTGAATACATAATATAATTTTAAAAAGAAGAAAAATGACTATTTTCTATTCTCTCTATGTGTGTTTATCATTTTGTTGTTGCCTTACTTGGTAGTTGTTTTTAAATGTTAAAAGCCTACACATAAAAGTGGCCTATGAGAGGTTTCATACCACAAAAATGTCTTTTTTAAACCTTCTGTATAAAAAAACAGAAGGTTACGGAAATTACATGTTATGTACCATGTTAGCCCTTCTCCTAAGAGTTAAGCTGCCTCTTAACTGTGGGCTAAATTTAACATGTAGCTATGCAAAAATCAAGTGAAAGAGAAAATGAAAATAAAAACGTGTGATATCTATATATAGATTTTATATTCAAAGTAACCATGGGATTTCTTGTAAAAACCTCTGAGGCAGACGTGTAGAAATAATCCTATTCTAAGTTTTATTTAAACTAAGAATTCTGTTGAATTTACTCTTTGGCAGGTACATTAAGGTAAATCTGTTGTCATGGATACAGTCAGCTGTAGCCATCAGATAATTAATTATGTGCATATATGTGTGTGTGTTTATTTATGTCTATATATTTATCTATCTTAGAAAATGGGCAAAACATGGGTTCTAGTGGAATGGAGGGAGGAACCACCGACCTATGACATTATTGTTTCTAAAAAGAACCTACTGAAAAAGAAATTTGAACATAAGGGATGTTGTGGATGTTGCCTATGAGGATGAAAGTTCACCAGCCACAGTTCTAGACATTAAAGGTAAAATGTACAGCAAATATTAAGACTTGTAATCATGAGTAGGCATTGGACAATAACCGGTTTCAAGGTTTATGTCAGTTTGGAAAAGTCATGGTTTTATAACTACCAATATTTTCTGCTATACCGTTTGTAAGGTATTTGTAAAGGTTTTTTATGTGTTGAAAAGAAATCTGTGTTTTTGGAACTAATGACGACAGCAGCAGTCAATGATTTATTTTAATCATTTAGCCTGACATGTTTGCCGTTCCAAAATATTTTAAATCTTTCCTAAAATAAAATATATTGTGTTTAAGTTGTTGTTTTTTTACTCAGATGTTTAAAAATAACTTATTTTATAGCAGTAATCACAATATTGTGATATTTTATCCAAGGTTATCATATCAACAGAAACTTAAATCCTGCCCATGCTTTATCATGATTGATAAGTATTTTCAACTTTATTTATTTCTCTTTAGAGAACGTTCGAGGTTACAGAAGTAACCCTTCGTTCCCCGAGGAGGGGAACGGAAGTGCCATAGAGTGGATTGATTGAAATCCACGAATGGGAGGATTCGGATCAGAAGCCGCTTGTCTGGAGAGTATTGAACGGGCCAATGAATGAAGATGAATTGGCAGCGTAAGCTTGCGCAGGTGTGCTGCATCGCCAATTATCCCAGCATATAAACACACGTGAAGCGAGCAAACGCCATCCTTTTAAGCTGAAGAAACTTTCAAACAGCTTAGGGACAGTCATTATGGCGACGGAGTATGGCACTTCCGTTCCCCTCCTCGGGGAACGAAGGGTTACTTCTGTAACCTCGAACGTTTCCCTTCGGTTGGGGAACTTCAGTGCCATAGAGTGGATTGATTGAAATCCACGAATGGGAGAAGTATGGAAAGCGCCATAATGACTGCAGCTTACCAACGCCCCCGATGAGGGGATAGTCAAGCAAGCGTGACGCACCCGCATCATGGGGGGCGCGGTCCTCCAACGTGTCCCTGGCCCTAATTTATCCTACTTCAACAGAAGTTTTACGGATTTAGATATATTTTTTGGGAAGTTGTGAGCATCTAGATAAATCTAGGAAATACGACAGTAGGTTGGGAAGCGTGCAATCCCGATAGGGAGGACGCTGCGGAGGCCATCCGTTACCCAAGGGGGGGATAGATGGCAGAATTTACATATGGACTAGCCCTAAAAAGGGGGAGTGCTCATAGCAAAAGCGTGGTTAGCAGAGACGGAAGTCCGCCCAGGGGGGGGAATTAACCGTGGCGGAATGAGCATATGGGATCGCCTAGTGGGGATCACGCATAGCAGGCACCTATACCCAAAACGCGGGCTGACCAGCGGGCAGACCTACAACGTAGTGGGCCAGCAAGTGACTCCTCCGATGAGTCAGTGCTGGGGGCCACGGAGGAATCTGCAGGGCTCACCTGACGGGGAACTTTACTGACAGATAAAAAGGCGCACGTACCTCCGTGTTAGGGAGAATGGCGCAGCAAGCGTGTTTCAACACCCTACCGAGTTGTCTCCTCAATCACCAAAGGGTTACCTAATACCCTTGAGGAAACCGGCTCCACTCGCAGATTGTAAAACCTTGCAAATGTGTTGGGTGTCGCCCAGCCCGCAGCTCTACAGATGTCTGTTAGAGAGGCGCCGCGTGCACGCGCCCAAGAGGATGCAACGCTCCGAGTGGAGTGTGCACGTACTCCCAGGGGACACGGCTGACCTCGACTCGAATAAGCGAGTGAAATGGCATCCACAATCCAGTGAGATTGTGAGATTGAGCACTTCCCTGCTGCCGACCGCCATAACAGACAAAGAGCTGCTCAGATGATCTAAAATTCTGAGTACGGTCCACATAAATGACAAAGTAAAGAAAGGGCTGGGTCTGCCTCCTCCGGGGGCAGCACTTGCAGGCTCACTACCTGATCTGTAAAGGGGGTGGTAGGAACCTTGGGCACATAACCCGGGCGGGGTCTCAGGATGACGTGAGAGTAATCCGGCCCGAAATCCAGGCACGAGTCACTGACCGAAAATGCCTCCAGGTCCCCGATCCTCTTGATGGAGGCCAACACAACCAGGAGAGCTGTCTTCAGGGACAAAAATCTTAGAGATACTGATTCAAGTGGCTCAAAGGGATCTGCTCGCAAACTCGTAAGAACGAGGGCGAGATCCCAAGAGGGCATGAGAGGGGGGCGAGATGGATTAATTCGCCTAGCACCCCTAAGGAACCGGATGATGAGGTTATGCTTTCCCACGGTGCCGCCAGCTACCGCGTTATGATAAGCGGAGATGGCAGCCACGTAAACCTTGAGAGTGGAGGGCGACAGCCTGCTGTCCAACCTCTCTTGAAGGAAAGAGAGCACAACACTAATCTGGCAGTTTCGGGGGTCTTCTCTGCGAGAGATGGACCATTCAGTGAATAGACTCCACTTCAGGGCGTAGGCGCGCCTCGTGGAGGGGGCTCTAGCCTGAGTGATGGTATTAACCACCGCAGTCGGTAGGTTACCTAAGTCTTCCTCGCGTCTAAGGACCACACGTGGAGGTTCCAAAGATCGGGGCGAGGGTGCCAGATGGTGCCCTGTCCCTGAGAGAGTAGGTCCTCTCTCAAAGGGATCCGCCAGGGGAGGGCCGTCGCGAAGAGTGAGAGCTCTGATATCCAGGTCCGGTTGGGCCAAAGGGGCGCAACTAGCAGAACCTGTTCCTCGCCCTCCCTGACCTTGCACAGTAACTGCGCGAGCAGGCTCACTGGGGGAAACGCATACTTGCGCATGCCCCGAGGCCAGCTGTGGGCCAGTGCATCCGTGCCGAGAGAGCCCTCGGTCAGGGAAAAAACAACTGGCAATGAGCGTTCTCAGGGGAAGCAAACATCGATCTGGGCCTCCCCGAATCGCGCCCATATCAGCTGAACAGACTTGGGGTGGAGTCTCCATTCTCCAGGGCGTAACAGCTGTCGTGAGAGCGCATCGGCTACACGATTGAGTGTGCCTGGAACGTGAATGGCGCGCAGCGATTTCAGCCGCGGGTGACTCCAGAGGAGCAGACGGTGGGCGAGCTGAGACATGCGGCGAGAGCGCATACCCCCCCATGCGGTTGATATACGCCGCCGCCGCCGTACTGTCCGTCCTGACCAGCAGGTGTTGCCACTCCAGCGCCGGTAAAAAGCGGTGGAGAACGAGGAACACTGCCAACAGCTCTAGGCGATTAATATGCCAATGCAACTGGGTGCCTTTCCACAGGCCCGCAGCCGCATGCCCGCGACACACAGCCCCCCAACCTGTGTTGGAAGCATCTGTTGAAACAACAACATGGCTGGACATCTGTCCTAGAGGCACACCGACCTGTAGGAACGAGGGGTCGTTCCAAGGGCTGAGGGTGCGGCGGCACAGCGCAGTAACAGAGACCCGGTGTGTGCCCACGTGCCATGCGCGTCCTGGGACCCGATCGTGAAGCCAGTGCTGAAGTGGTCTAATATGGAACAATCCGAGTGGCGTGACAGCGGCTGCGGATGCCATATGCCCCAGGAGCCTCTGAAAGAACTTCAGTGGGACCACTAGTTTGCTGTCGAGCTCCCTCAGACAGTTCAGCAACATGTGAGCGCGTTCCTCGGAGAGGTGCGCTACCATGTTGATCGAGTCCAGCTCCATCCCGAGAAAAGAGATCCTCTGCACGGGGGCGAGTTTGCTCTTTTCTCGGTTGACCTGAAGCCCCAGTAGGCGGAGATGCCGAAGCACCTTGTCCCTGTGCACAATCAATTGCTCCCGCGAGTGGGCTAAAATCGTCGTCGAGATAATTGAGTATGCGGATGCCCGCGAGCCAAAGGGCCGCTAAGGCACCCTCCGCGAGTTTGGTGAAGACCCGCGGAGACAGAGAGAGCCCGAAGGGGAGGACCTTGTACTGCAACGCTCGACCCTCGAACGCAAACCGCAGAAATTGGTGGTGGCGTGGAAGAAT